CCAGCCGTGGAGGGCATGGGGTGGAGAGGAGCGGTGGGCAGTGAAAGGGCGGAACGAAAGAGCGGGCGAGGGTCGACCGCGGTCCTTTTTGGGGGGGGAGGACGAGGTTGGAGAACGGACTTTGGCTACTTGGTAAAAAAACAATATCAATATAGAAACGAAGAATGCCAGTCCAAGATGGTCTCTTCACGTCTCTTCGCTCATATGTTCTCTGATCCTCTTCAAAATACTGTGGATTCCCTGGAAAAAAAGGACAGACCAACCACCAAGCCAGTCCAATCCTCTTCCACGCTCCACCCATTTGCACCCACCCTCTCAACCCCCAAATTGTGGCGCCTTCCGGACAAATAGATGCTGTACCAGAACACCGGCAGCGCCACGAAGACGGAGCCAAAGGCCAAGCGAGGCGAGCCATAGCAGATGGAGCGCACGCTCGTCCACACGAAGGAGGCCGGCAAGACGACGTAGGCCAGGAAGATCAAGGTCCAATGATCCACCTGGTGAAGGCGAAGTGATGGTCGTCAAGGGGTGGGCGCAGCTGCCCGGCTGGACCAAAAACGCTGGGACATCTGCGGACATCCATACAGACGTTTATATGGTTGATCAAGGAACAAGCCCCATCGTATCAGACCCAAAACTGAACCTGAGCAGCCGACCAGCCTCGCTGCGCTCAGTCGGAGGAGAAAGGGACGAGAGGTCTCTTCCGCCGGGGTCTCTTAGATGCTTCCCCCCAAACCCGACGCCCCCAGGACCTTCGCCGCCAGGACCGCAGAAAGCACGCCCACGCCGCCATCGCCCCACATGGCCCCATGGCCCGGGCCGCCCCCATCGCCCTCGCCTTCCACGCGGTGAGTCTCAGCTGTGCATCGAAAAGCCCTGCCATCGTGCAGAGCATCAGTTGGAACCTCGGCGATTTCGCCAGCGAAATCGTTGGAAGTCTAGCTGTCAATATACCCAGGGGGCCGTCTATAAGGCAGTGGATCAAAACCGGGAGCCCTAAGGCGTGGTAGGTTGACCTCCTTACTACTTTGTTCCATAAGAATTCATCTATGTACTGGTGAACTGTTTGCCAGGCCAAAACATGGAAGACCCATTCTTTTGATGGCCTTCCTGCTGTGCGTGGTGCAGTCAACTTGGTTCAGCTTGAACATAAAGAGTCCGAGGGGAATAAGTCGTTCATGGAGGGATCGGGGGGATCCTGGAGGAGGAGACGGATAAAGTGGCTGCCCAAGGTTATTTAAAGTTTCATGTTAAATTGGTTGATCCTATCAAACCCCAGCGTTTGCCGAACGAGGGAAGGCGAGTTGGTTTAGGCGAGCCTCCTGCAGAATTCTCCGAACTACAGCGCTAATCGCACCTGTTGAACTATTGTTATTGCGAGGCTAAGAGCATGCACTGTGAACAGCGGTGTGCATCTTCTCGTCTGACATGCTCCGGGCATCTAGTTTCGACCCACAGCTTGGCAACAAAGTTCTTTTCCCCATACAAGTTCTTCTCATCTGATCATCTGACCCGAACTTTTCACCATGTTTTCACCTATGCAGGTCTTCCGTCCGCGGCCCACGCACACTCGATCCACGTCCCACGCACGCTTCACCGCGCCACATGGAGCACGAGGCCGCAAAGGTCGTCGCAAAGAGGACCTCCACACCGAGGGACCAGGTCGGACCAGGTCGGACCGGGTGCCCAGAGGATGAACGAAAGCTCAACAAGATCAAGAACTAGATATTTTATGGTTGAAATAAATAGATAACTAAACTGATTGAGAAACACGTTTGATACACTGCTGATATGACTTCGTCAACAAACAACATAGCATATTTGAACAAGACCTGTAAACATGTATCAAGTGAGATTAAGAGACTGGAAAGCAGGAAAACGTGAATGTGTAGGTGAAATCGTGATATGCAGGGGATCAAAAACAAGTGTTTTTGTTTTCTATGTAAATTTGAAATCCATTTTTCATATCGGTAATGAAACTACTACCTTGAAGAATGTGAAGCCAAATATGCTTCAATAATTTCAAATGAATAACGTAACGTAAGAGAGAACTTCATGCTTGCTTGGTGTTCAACTTGCCATCCTGCTCCAGATAGTAGCATTAGCAGAAATTCGATTATAACCATTTTTTACAAAATAATCCTGAATGGGTTTGGACAGCCTTTACAAGATGTAGAAATTTGAACAAGGTAAGATTTCTATATATAGATATAAAAATGATACCAAAGATAATTCTACAGTAACCCAAGATGCGTTATAAGCTACTCTAAAAGTGTGTAAAAAACTGCAAAATGCAGGCTAAAACAGCCAAAAAACAAGTACAAAAACAAGGATACGTGAATGTTCAATAGTTCTTAGACAGTATCGATATTTAGTGTAATATTTAGGTATGGGCTTCATATTGATACAGAAGGCTGGAATGGTTCAATAGTTCAATTCAACTTGCCAGAGAGTTTCTAACCTTGAGTTTCACTCACTAGGCAATTCAATGTCTTATTGCCTTTGCTCTTGCCCTTCTTGCCCTTATCTCCTTTTCCCTTGTCGCCTGTTGGGGCTGAACAATCTTTGCCTTGCCACTCGAGCCTTCACGTTTGTCTCGACTAGTGCTGCCTCAAGGCCTCTGGGAGGCTAGCCTATTGCGTAGTTCCTCCCTTGCATTCTTTGCTGCTTCTGCGCTCTTGGGCCCTTGCCTCAATCCTGCAGCGTCCGCGGACACCAACTCTAGTTGGCGTGCGACCGACCAATGAACTCCTCTGGCCTGTTGTTCCAAAGCTTTTACACGCTGTGCGTACGCAAACTCAATGTATGGGCTGGATGCCCCTGCAACAACAGGTCTGCTCCTTGGCACAACGTCAACAGCTCCTGGCGGTATAATTGTACTTGTAGTTGTAAACAATGTGTATATAATATATATATATATATATATATGCAACCTCCTGTCTGCTTCTTTTGGTCGGTGGTTCAACATACCTTTATTTAGGTCTGTGAACCACATAAACATCACATCCGCTTAAAAAACATGTTCGGGAAGAAACGCCTTTGGCTCACCAATAAACGCCCTTAGCTTGTGCATAAACGCCCGTGGAATATCAGAAAAAATCAGAAATCTAGAGAAACATCCGCAGACTCAAATATAAGGCTGTGACTCCAAAAGATGTGTTTCACGCCGCAGATCGAAAAAAAATGCACTTTGAAAACGTATTTCAAGAAATATGATGTTAGGATTAAATTATGATATGTATATATATATATATATCGGTAGCACAGGCAACAAAAATACCATATTGTAGTCCGTCTCCTCTTATAACAACCATATTCCAAATGTTGGGTCTGGCCCAACCCAGGTCACGGTCGGTCACGGTCGGTCACGGTCGGTCACGGTCGGTCACG